GCATAGCTGTTAAGTTTCCTCCCCCTGGCTGCCACACTGAAATTTCACACACAGTGGCTGCTTCCATTACATACACATTAATACACATATATGTTAACAGGCACTGCAACACTTCCCCTGGCTGCCATTTGGGAGCACATCTAAAGCCCATTTTGATGTTGGAGAAGGCATTGTAATGCTACGGCGATGGGTGATACATCTCCCAGCACATTCAGTACAACGCCGGCAGTGTGAATTTTTGCTGCCAAAACCTGTGCAAATCACCACCAGGCTTGCTCCGAGCTACAGATGGGGGAGGACTGAGAGCAGTTCTGAAGATGTTTGTGGAAAGTTTGAGGATTTTTAAATACTGGAAAATTGCAGTGGTTTGGTACAGGAGGAATGTTCAAAGTAAATAGAGGTGGGTGTGGTAATTGTTGAAGGTTATTTATCACAACCAGACCTAGAAGCCTGGGATTTCCTTAAACCACTGTTCAGCTGTGGTAGGGAAGGTCTGAACTCTTAGAGTCATCCACGAGGCATGATAGTTTGAGCCTGCTTTCTGCTATTTCCCCTCCAACCTCCCCATGGAGAGGAGAGAAAAAAGCCCCACCATTTGCTCTCCAAGTGTAACTTCAGACAGGTGGAAGATGGCTAGAGGAAGAGTGCGGAAAGAGGGGCATGGGCAGGGTGCAGGAGTAAGCCTGCTCTGGGACACAGGTGCAAGGTGTTTCTGCAGGGCTACACAATTACGTTCTAGAGGAGACTGAGGCTGGTAGCTGGGAGGATGGCATGGAAAGGCAATTATGTTTTTTAAAAAACCCCTTGTCACTCATGGGTTACACCAAAATGGGAGTCCTTGCATACCGGGCCTGTCATGGATGAGAGAAAAGTACTGATCAGGTATTGATCTTAGCACATCAGAAGGATTAGGGCACAGCTCAGGAGGAATGTTTGGTTAGGTAGGAGTAATGTGTCACAGCTGAGGCTGTGGGGCTGGAAACCTGGTCAGTTTAGGAAAGGACCTGATATTCTTGAACATCACATGTTAAACATGAGTCAACAATCCCAGACTATATTAAAAAATGTCATGTTCCAGTGTATAAATGGGAGTAGATCCTGTAGGACATGGGAAGCAACCCTTCCTCTTTGAAACATGTTTGCAAGGCCTCAGCTAGAATGGGGTGTCCAGTTCTTAGCACCACATGTTGGAAGCAGAGAAGGGGGCAGCTGGGTGGACAAGGATGGAGCTGTATATAATGTGCAACCTGTGAGGGGCAACTGAGGAATTCAGAGCTCTACAGATCCTGAGGGGATGACGGGAGGTGTAAAGGGCCATTTTCAAAAACACAGGCTTCTGTGGTAAGAAATAAACCTCTTACTGTGTCTGTGATGGATGGGAGATAAAATAGTGGCTTAAATTGCAGTAAAGGAGACAGAATAAACAAAGAAATAAGTGTAGACATGCTGAGACACTGAAATTGATTGCACAGGAGGGTCATGGAGTCTCTGCTAGTTAAGGTGTTGGAGGTTCAGTTCAGGTAACATAGGCCCACATACTTTGGTTTTGAAGGCCTTCAAAAACTTTTCTGTTCCTTATTTTCCTATGTCCTCTTAACACTATTGTTGTGTGTGTGGATTCTATACTAGAGATATAGTTTGGTAAAGAGTAGGTAACTGCAGCACATGAAATCTAAGAATGTCAACTGAAAACAGCTTTTTGGGTAAAGTGTCAGGAGAGTAAAACTGAGACAGAGGACTAGTAATGTAAATGAAAACTGTGAAATAGAAAAGGAAGTTAGTAGATATGTGTTATTTGCCTTGTTCCTCAATGTGCTGCCTTTTTGGCCAGAAGGAAGTAATTAATGTGAATTTGAGGCTAAAGGCAGCACTAACCTTCTTGTGAACACTGAGTGGCCTTTTTGAAGGTTCAGCCTGCAGAAACTGAATCCTCAGGAGTGCTTTTTCCCTGACTGAGGGACAAAGAAGAAAGGTTTGCTTCCTTTGCACACTTCCCTGTAGGGCCCTGCCTCATTTTCCTTGAAGGACAGGAGCTGTCTGTATAGGAAACAGCTGAAGCTTGTTGAGAAAGCCACACAAGTAAATAACAGCAGAGAAAGAGGAAATCTGCAGGACAGACAATTGATGTCTAGAAAGTAAACCAAAGGTATGACATTGGCATACTAGAATGGCCAGAAGGCAGGTGCAAGAGAAAGGATGAAAACTACTACCTGTCCACATAATGCCCATAGTCTGAAAGCATTAGTTAATGTCTGGGGAGCAAGTATCAATTCCTGGAGGTCAGGACTATGAACACTTTAGCATATGGTTAAAAAGTTGGTTCACTGAAAGTAGTGATTTATTTACATCCATAGACTGGGAAAGACACATGAGCATGTTTTCTATTCAGGTAAGCCAGATAGAAGCAACGCATAGAAAGTAAAGTTAGCAACAAAAGGATGCATTGAGTGGAAAAGTGTTAAGTCTCTATATTTAAGACAGTGGAAGAAAAGTGTGATATGAGATAATAATAATGATGTCATCTTGTAGAAAATACAGTAAGATTCCTAATATCCCCCTAAAATATAAATGAGTATATAGAAAAGGGATTCAGACTACTTATGATATTTTTGTTTGGGTACTGTCAGCTTTTTTAGTTGGCAGGCTCTGGGGCTGCTGCAAGGCCTGTTGTTTCTGATTGTCCAGTTACTCCTTGGTCGTGAGGGTATCTGTACCACTCCCCAGCCTCATATGCATCGGACATGCAAGAGTTGGCTGACCCTGAGATAAGCTTGCCTTGCCATCTGTCAGTTGCTGTCAGCCCTGGAAGAGTGCAGATGACCACACTTTTACATGGCCGGCAGTTTGAACGTGGGATTTCACATCAGAGAGCACTGCCTGGGTAGTGACACCCTGTCTGCAGCTTTGTGACCTGCTGTGCTCAAGGATTTCAGTGCACAGCTGAACATCAGCTTTGCTGGGCTAGCTCTTTACTTCTTTGATGTAATGCTCTCCCTGCACTTTACATTTTACATGTTACTCTCCTCTCTGGACAGTCAAGTAATACATCTAGAGGATTTGGTGCACATTTGCCCTTGTGCCAGAGGTCAATTCAGTTGGCTTGTTTAGTGTTTAGCTCCTTCTCATTTCAGAATGGAAGATACCTTGGGACCATAGCAGTATGACGAGTCAGTGTAAGGAATTGGTGTGATTAATTTTGAAAAGAGCAATTGAAAATCTGCTAAACCAACCTGCCAGTGGGTGAAATGAAACTCCCTACATGTAGGACTTTGTGTCCTGAAAAAAAATGAATCAGATGGAAAAAAAAAGATGTGCTGAGGCTCCATCCCTAAACTCATTTCCCAACAGGGTTTTAACCATGTGAACAAAACCACCTATCCTCTCAGTCAAAAAATGACACGCCAATCCAAGGCCCTTGAAGGGAAAGTGCAGGAGAGCTGCTACAATTAGTGTGCAATCTCATTAGCCTGTACCATTTTCCCCCTTTAGGCACTTGCTTGATTTGATTATAGCGGTAAAGATATAGTGCAGTTTGAAAAGACAGACCAGTCCTGCATTATTTGAGCTCACAAAAGCTGTTCCCTGTGTATCAGACACCTATTTCTATTGTTTCCTTAAGGCAAAAAAGCCATCAGAAGTGCCTTTATTGGCAGTGGTTGCTTCATGCTGGGAACCTGCCAAGATTAATATACACAACATTCCCTTCCCTGCCTCCTGCTTTCAAAAAGTAACCAGCATAAAAGTATTATTCAATTAGTACCCAGTCAGAAACCTCATGTTGTCTGAAGTTGTTACTAAGAAGACAGTGGTTATTAATGATGTACCAAACTGCGTGTTTCAGTAGAACTTTGGAAATTATACAGATGTGTTTATTTACCAGATGACTGGTTAATTTTGCTCTGAATCACTAAGTAATCTGCAGAAAACATATGTAGCAAGTATCTTAGGTATAATTTATTCATTGTTCCTATAATTATTCGGTTTGCCTTAATTCAAGTTGTCAGGTTTTTTGGCTGCTGTTATTAATAAAAGCAAACTGAAAACCCATGCAGCTGAAGATATAATTTCTTTAGCATATTTCAAATAGGCAGGGATTCATCTTTTGTTGAAATGGATTGATTTACTGCAACTACTGTCTAATTCACTACTATAGAATAAGTTAAAACCTTATAAAAATTTTAAGCACTCCTCTAGGAAAGCACATTCAAATCGTTTGCAATATCTATGTAGAATTATCTCAATCTTTTTTGGTTGCTGGAATGGAGAGAAAATATCACTTCTAGAAATACATCGTAATTTCAAACAATAAACTGAAACAGTATCAGTTAAGGCTAATGAAGAAAAGCAGCACTGTAATTTGTCATCTTTCAGTTAGAGATGATGACTTAAAATGTCAATGTGTCCCTGTTTGCCAGCTATTGCAGATTGATGATAGTTAATCTCCTAACTAAACACATGCAAAACCCCCCGCCAAGACCCAAACTAGTTATATCAGCACTGGTCCAATTCCTTTTTGACCAAGTGCTATTTTGTGTATTGTTATCTGTAAATTGTTTTATTTCTCAATTTTTTCCCTAAGTCAGAATTTTTTTTATATAGCTATTTTGCATCATAAATTTAGAGACCTGAACATTCTCATGAATGTAGTTTTACTCTGAGACTGTTCCTTGGTCTGGTCTTCGGACAATTTCACTTTAAAAGAGTTACTGTTTTCTGCTTGATGACTTTCCTTTCCCAGGAAAGATTCTAGCAGAGATTATGTACTGTGTAAAATCAAAAATAGTTCTGATCTTAAAGTCATACAAACAAGCAGAGGCATCCTTTTTTCTCATCACGAAAATCTTGTGGAGATAGAAAACCGTAAAGATTTGGGATGAAAAAATACTTTATTTACAAAAATGCTGTGCAATTTTTCCCAAGAAAGTTTTCACTCTGTCTCTCCAAAAGTACAATTGGTGCTACTGTTTACTGCTCTAATTTGAACTGGATTTATTTTGTAGCTATCCGTTGAACAACAGCGATCTGCATCCGTTCAACATTGAGGAGAATGGTGGAACTCCATACACCACAAAAATGGCTGCAAGGCACCACCACCACCATCGGCATCACCACCACCATGCCAATTACGGTGCCCTTGCTCCCGAAACCAAGGACATTGTTTCTGCAGTTCCAAATCCAACCAGTAAGTCCACTGCAGTGATTGTTATTTCAGTGATGTGCTGCTTTCAGATTTGTCTCGGGCAAGGAGGCAAAGGAAAGGAAAACAGTGTGCATTTCAGTTTTCCTCCTTGAAGAATGTGCTTCCTGTTATTATTTGCTAGCTTTGTAGCATGTGCAAATGAGAAAAGATTTGCAATTTCCTTGGTTTGCTGCAGGGTTGTGGGATTTGGTGTTAGTTGGGTGTTCCATAGCTGAACAAATACCCCATTAGTCACAGATACTGACTCTCTAACCACTTTTTGGCACAGGCTCCTTTTTCATTGTTACTATTTGTTTGTATAGTTTCACAAACCTACCCTCATCTGCTATTGTCTTTTGCTGATCGGTCCAGCTGGCCCTCAGCCCTCATTGTTTGGATCTTGTTTTCATGTCTGGGCACAGGCAGCAGAAATTTTGGAGCCCTGGACATACCGCATCTTGCTCTTAGTTTCGGTAATCGGAATAATTGCAAGCTTTAGCAACCAAGACTGGAATATTTTTGCTTCCTCAGTGGAGAAATTCTTGGCCTGTAGAAAGCAATGAGTAGAGAAGTCTATCCATTCCTGATGCAGTCCGGGGGAGTTTGGGTGGAAGACTCTGCTACTGAACGTGTACAGGCATTTTTAAGGGTATGGAGCTTGGCCAAATATTTTACACAGGAACTGGAAGAGAAACATCCCTGTCATTGAGCATTGCTCTCCAGATTTACAATCTCTGCACTCTGTAGTGTGTCAGATGCTGAAGCTGTGTAAGAATGGCAGATGATGGGCAAAACAAAATATGATCTATTATACTCCTTGTCTCTAGGAAATGATGAGTTCTTCCCTTGCCCAGTTTTTGCCTTCATAACTGTAAATGACCCTGAGATATCTATCCATTGTGGAATCGTTCACCCTGGTCAGTTAATCTGATAACTTTCAAATTCCTGAAACCAGGGTCTTGGACTGTACTGGGTGACCCTGACTGTAAGCTGTCCCACCTTAGCAGCATCACATAGGCACCTATCTGGACAGGCACTTTAACCAGACTCTGTTTCAGAAGATCAGAAACATTTTCTTTCATTTTCTTTCCCCCAGAGAGTGCGATAGTTTTGAGGTATTTGCATCTCGGCCCTGCTGTGCAGCCACCGGCACCCCTCAGGAGGGGAGTGCGGGCTGTGCGGGTGTGGGGCTGTCCCGGCTGGCCCTGTGCAGGCTGTGCCGGTGTGGGGCTGCCCCGGCCCTGGGTGGGCTGTGCCGGTGTGGGGCTGCCCCGGCCTTGTGCGGGCTGTGCCGGTGTGGGGCTGCCCCGGCCTTGTGCGGGCTGTGCCGGTGTGGGGCAGCCCCGGCCCTTTGCGGGCTGGGCCGGTGTGGGGCAGCCCCGGCCCTTTGCGGGCTGTGCCGGTGTGGGGCTGCCCCGGCCGGCCCTGCCCGGGCTGGGCCTCGGCCCGGCACCCCCAGGGCCGCCCCGCACGCCGGGCTGAGCGCTGGGGGGATGCTGGCACGGCTGTGCTGGAAAACCTCTCCTGGCTGTCAGCCTGGCACCGTGGGAGGCGGTGACCTTTCTGGGGGGTGTGCCAGCCCATATTTTCCTTTCCCAAATTAGAGCTGAAGCATGCCAGGAAATTCATTCAGAGCCAGCTATGCTGCTGCCGATTGTCCCGACCCAGAAGGCACTGCCGGCCCTGCTTCCCGCGGCCCCCTCCTCGGGGCTCCCATCCAGGCCACAGCTCCGTGTCAGACTCCCCTCCCGGTGCCCCAGTTCAGTCCCCGCAGTGCTGCTGGTCTCCAGCCCCCCACCACCCTGCCGTGGGCCCACCTGCGGGACAGGGGGTAATGAAAGAAACAGCAAAAACCACATGGTACAGGGTGTTTATTCCAGCACTCTGTCTCCTCTCAGGTCACACAGCTCTCCTGCTTCTCCTTATTGCAGAAACAACCTTAGGAAGAACCTAGAAGAGCACAAGGGCAAACATCAGGAGCAGTTCTCTTTGTGCTCAGAGAGATGAAACTGGGGCCTGGGAGGCTCCATGTCCTGCCCCAGACATGAGAAGAGTGAGCCCTCTCCCCCAGACTGACCCTGGTGGTGGGGAACAGCGTCCTTGGCCTGTCTGGCAGCTGCCATGCTCTGACAGGGACTTCAGAAGCCAAGGCGTGTATGACACTTGTTGGTGGAGACAGATCCACCTTTCTCTTCACTTGGTCCGCTGAACAATGCTCCACACTATTTGGTGCAGAAGAAGAGAATCAGTGCTGGTTCTTGCCTAATGCCAGTTGCACCAAATGCCAATTCCCAATTTCTCTAAGGGAGTGGAAAGGGATGGGACACCTCCAGGGGGAGGCTGTGGTGCAGCTGTGCTGACTGCTCCCAGCTGAGCTGTTTAGGCAGCTGTGCATGCAGTGTGCTGAGTGTCTTTGTGCTGCTGTGCTGCCCCACTGCAACCCATTGCTGATCCTCTGTGGCACCTGTGCATTCAGCTGGAGGTGCAAAGCTGATTTCCCTTGAGAAGCCAGTTCATGGTTATATCTGGCATGTTCATGCTGTGAGAGCAGTGGCAGTTTGGGTAGAAGCACTTCCCTTAAAACAGAATCTGACTTAATAATTTGCAGCTTGGGGTGATGGGTTTAAGTGCCTTTTCAAGGTTGGTGCTCAGGGGACTAGGGTTGGTTTGTTTTTAATGGTTTCATTAAAATGCTGCTCAGGCTATTTCAGCTGAGAAAACTCTTGTAGAGAGCCTGTGGTAAAGGTTCACAGTGCATGTACTGAAATAGTTAGGAGCATGCTGGCCATTGGCCGTTTATGGAGGACATGGCACAGTGTGTGGGCCAAGAAAAAATCAGGCAGAGAGGAAACACTATCAGCAGTCTGCCTCAGGAACGTGAGGACATGGGGGACTGATGTCTGGCTCCAGGCTGTGTGGAAAGGCCAGTGCTGGGAAAGTGTTTCTAGGAAGTAAGTGGTCACTAAAATGGGGATGCTCTCAGGAAAGAGGGTGCTTGTGACCAAAATATCTTAAGTGGAAATGCCTGAAGAGCAAAAAGATCTCATGGGGCAAATAGGCTGTCCTAGGAGAAACTTCCCCATAAGGCTGACAGAGGTGACACCAGTACTTAACCTACCTTGTGCTTTTCCATGGGACCACAGGTGTTTTGTGACTTGTTCCAGTTGCTATGGACTGCACTCATCACTGAGCTCTGAGATGGTTTTGAATTCATCTGAAGTGGAACATGGAGTGACCCACTGATATGTACCCACCATCAGGCTGAGAGGGAGAAAGCATATGCCTTTCTTCCACTTATATCTATTCTGAGAATTCCAAAATTCCAGGGCAATTAGTGGGACATAGGCAGGAGAGAGGGCAACAACAATGTGCCCAGCCAGGGTTCCTTTAAATACTAGTGCATGTTTCCCAGCAAACATACAGCACAGGACTTTGTTACAGAAACAAACAGAAAACAAACCCGGGCCAGATCTGCCTGATTTTTCACATTCCAAGTAATTTGTCTGCTTCAATTACTGGAGGAAGTGAAATCCAGTGAAACAAATCTGACGTGCGTGTTTATGAAGGCAGCTCAGCAGAAGATGTTGTTTTCCTGCATTCAGCCTGATCCTTGTACTCACAATGCTACACCTCACCTCAAAGTTAACATCACATCTTGTGGTGCAGCACATCTTCCCCCAGTTGTATCCCAGAGCCCCAGTCACACTCTATGCAACAGCAGTCAGCCTCACAGGGAAGAGAGGGTGAACTGCTTGCTGAGCCTAATTGGCATGGCAAGGTCGTGCATGGATTTCCAGGTGCACATGAGCAGACTCACCGGCAGCAGCTGGGACTATCACTGGGAGCAGATGCCAACACGTAGGCAGTGCAGCTCACAGAATTTTTATGACAGAAAATGAGGAATGGGAAGAGGGGACCCAGGTTGCCTCTTGAACTCTGGGCTGAGCTTGCAGGTTATCACTTCAAAAACAGGCATCCTTCACTCCTGAGCAGCTCGCTACAAAAGACCTTGCATAACCCTGAGCATAGAATAGTCTAACACAGACTGAGTTTCAAGCTGAAAACAGAACTTTGAAAAACCACAGTGCTGCCAGATCATTTCTTGGAATGAAAGCCTGGGTTTGCCAAGACTTAATGCTGACTCAGGAAATTTATGCCTTTTGTAGGAATTCATTTTTGCCTTTTCTTTTGTTTGTTTTTGAGGTTGGGTTAAAAGGCTAAACTGGCCTGCTTGTCTTCCAGAGCTCTCCTTTTAAACAACCAAAAAAAAAAAAACCCAGCTTAAAAATCAGTTTAAAATAGTAGCAAACTTGAATAATTTAAATAAGGGACTTTCCCCCCCTTTATTTTCTTTCTTAGGAGGAAATTAGAATGATTTTGTTTCTTAAAAAAACTGCCCATCATCATGACTGATTTTATGGCTGTGTTAATTTATTCCCAGGGTATCAGGCAGTTTCACTGTCTTGTATGCACAGAAGCAGCTGTGATGTGAGAAATGCTGAACTCTGGCATCACTAACTTGTGATGAAAGACCACCAAGAGGAGGTCAATGATGATATTGTAACCCTTTCTAGGACTTTATTACCTCAGGGTCTGATAATGTTTCACTAACACCAAAAAAAACAGCTTTTCGCTTATATCCCTCTAAGCTGGTTTTAGCAATTTGTCTCTAGTCAGCAAAGCCCTTAATGTATATTTAAACAGCTGTAGAATTAGATCTTGAGTGAGTAATATTTAATATTCTTAGGACAGCTTAAGAACCTGATCCAAACCAAACTGCAGTCAGTGCAACGTTTTTATTGATTTCAGTAGGCTTTGAATCAGACTCCACAGAACTGGATTGTTCCCAACTGTTATTATCTAGAATCCATGGCAAGAAGAAATATGGGAGGACACAGAGATTCATTTTTCTCAGAGTACTTGCATATATATATATATATATATATATGCAGCATCCCCAAGATGATGACAGAGACCTTTTAGGGCTGTCTGAAAAAGTATTTTTTCCTTGTCTTTCTGTGTCAGTGGCTTGCTTAAAATCTCTGTTGACAAAGCACAGCAAATTCCTGACAACAGTCTTAAAGAGGCTGGCATATAAATAAAGATGTCTGAGAGAAGCCAAAAGCTATACTCTGATCTCTTTACACATCACATGCTTTGAGAGTGGCACCTTGGCTGCATAAATAATCCCTCTGGTGTCAACTAAGTTTTAGAATATAGAGGGGGTAGAGGCGGTGGGGAGGTAAGGAGAGAAATATCTAGCCCAAAGCTGGCAAAAGCTCTGCTGAAATGAAAGGATGGGTGAGAAAGAGGAGGGGGAGGAATTGTTTGCTAAATAGAAGAAGGCAAAATGACCCAACAGGCATAATTATGAAACATTTTAGAGGGTCTTACAGAGAAGATGCTTTGCCAACCGCCGTCTCTTCAAATGCAGTTGAGTGTCTTGCTCTGAAGTTCTTCTGTAGCCTCCCTTCAGACTGTCTCTTTTTCTTTCTTTCTTTTGGGCATCCTTTTAGAACTGAGCTCAGGACTTCCCCTTCTTTATGATGAAACTTCTCATCTGAAGAAAATAGAAACGGAGAGTGTGAAGGTAGTTGGACCATGGCCAGCCCTGCACGTCAGCATGAACAAGGTATAGCATATACATATATACTTTTACATATACATGCCAGAGCACCTTTGTCACTTCATATTCAAAAGCTGCTGCTTTTTCACCTCCAATTCAAATCAACATTCATCTTCAACTGGCTTGCTTTTTAATCACCTCTCACCATCTTCTTATGGGACTGGGATTTGGTTTTTAGATTTAGCATTTCAATCAGCTTTGCCTTTTAAAATTTCAGAAGCTGCTGCAACAATGTTATGCTATAGTTTTAGTTTAGTTGTGAAGAGTTAGTCATCTAGGCAGCCCAGAGCTGTAAAAAAATAACAACACTTTAAGTGATAAAAAAAATCTTGTTTTTCTACATGAGGAGTCCGTGTTATGCCATAAACTCCCCCTGGCATCTGATGTTAGTGGGTGTTTTATGAGACAGTCTTTGCAGGGGTGGCCAAACAGCCATGTCCTGCTGTTTCTGCCAGAGATCAGCAAGTCAGTGGCTCCTCATATCCATGTGAGGATAAATCCGCTGTGCCTGAACTGGGATCCCTTGATCTGAATCTGGACCAGGCTCTCTGGTTTGCAACCACACAGGTCCTGAGCTGGACCCTGTGAAATCAATCAGAGAATTGCCACTGTTCAAAAGAGATGGGTCCCAGCCCCCAGTGACTCTGTACAGACCTTTTTAAAAGAAAAGTGGTGTTTTGAGAGTTTTTTTGTCAGCTTGAGGAAGAACTCAACTAAATTATTTTAACTTGGTTTTGCAAACAGCTTTTTGTTATTGATATTGCTTCCAAAAGTGTTAGGGAAATTAAAATCCAAGGGAACATGACCAAGTGTACCAAAAATACAAGCACAAAGGGACTGTGTATATATATATATATATATATATATATCAGAATCTTTCTCTTCTCTGGTTGAGAGATTCCAGGAGATGGAAGTCAAGGCTAAAAATCAGTGAATCAGTGAGCCAGGTGTTTCTAATGAGACAATTAAATACTGGATTTTTTTTTCAACATTACAGTTAATTGAATTTATTCTATAATGCAAGGGATTTGCTATCATTAAGACTTCCTTGAACCATGTTCAGTGTTTGTCATAGGATTGTGGTGTAGTTCAGCTATGGACTGAGGTCCTTATGCCTTATTAATGTAGTCATGAGGTAATGACCTGTGTCATGATTTTTGGAGATCTCTCAATGAACAGAGGAAGGTGGAATATTATAGACTTTCTCCCAAATCTATTTGGTTTTCACCTGTGAGGAGTTCTAATTTTGTCTGGCTCAAGTGGGAATTAAAAAGATAAATCATAAAGTCAACAAACTGGGGTGAAATGGGAAAGTAGTCACCTTTCATTCCTATGTGCATTTCTCAAGTTCATCTTCTAGAAATATTCTCAACTGGTAATAAGTGCAGCTTTTTATAGGCAAAGCTTGTTAGGCACTGACATAGTTTGCAAAAGGAAAATTCTCCATCACAGACTCATCCAATGAATACCCAGGTCCTGTGATTACTGATGTTCTATCTGAACCCCAGCAGAGAACATTCACTCAGATGTAATGTCCAAAACATGCTTTAAAGGACTGTCCTACACTATTGAGCTCACTGAGAGCTGAGTTTGTCATATTTAAAGGGCCAAAGTGAAGATGTGAGAGGACTCCCTCCACACTGACCACAGTGCACAACTGGGTAAACCAATCTGACCTGTGCTGCACAAAAGGTTCAAAGATGTGATCTTAATGGTATCCCTGTGATGCTGTGATTTCTAAATGAGTAGATTTATGTTCTGTTTTCTTAAACTGAAAGCTTAAAACACTTTGGTCCTGTATCCCACCATACTGGGAAAGTAATCCAAATATTGTACCTGCAACTTCTGCCTGATCTCTGATCCTCTTGCTCCTTCAAATTCACTGCAAGTCTGTGGAGGGAGGACTCAGCTCTTTTATAATTAAAGGTTTTCTTTGGCTTGTCCTGACAGCTCTAGAATCTTGTCCACAGTCAGATGGATTATTTATTTAAGGACTAATTAGCAGAACCCAGTATCATAACAAGTCAGAGCTTCACAATAAATGCAGCTGCACAGTAAATGCAGCCTGTGTCTGCTGTGATGAGTCTGCCATCAGTCAAAGTTTAGCTGATGAAAAAGTCTTGTAATGAGCACCAAGAGCTGCTAAATGCTTCTGTTTCTGGCAGAAGCTCAGCAAAAGGCAAGACTAGAGACATGGGCTGTCTAATGAAAACCCTCCCCTGGCAGTCATAGAGGGTTTGGGTTTAAGAACTGGGCAGCATTCCCATGAACAGCAGCTACCATGTGAATGCAAAAGAGGCCAGCCCTTCAAAATTTATTAAAATTACTGGTTTTAACAATCTGAAAATTGTACATACTCTTGAAACTGGCCCAGAGACACCACTGGAAAGCATTTCAGTGATCCAGCCCTACATTACAGGCTATGGGTTGTGACCAACAAATCATTCTGAAGTTCTTTTGGCCTTTCGTTTGTGGTTTCTTCAAGCACCATTGTCTGACCTAGATTCTGGTGAAATGTGTATACAGAGCTCACACAGCTAAAACAAACAAACCACAGGTCTCTGAGCTCTGAGCAGAGCCTGGAATTGCCTCATCAGATGACTTCTCCAGTGAAAGGGAGAGACATGCTGCAAATATTGGGCTGAAATGCCATAGAGCACTGCCCAGCAGAAAGGTAACAGGGCAGGTTAGACCAGATTGAACAACTCCAAAATGTGACAAGAATTTTTAACTGAGAGTGAGGTCTTCAAAGTTGCTTTGGTTATGGTAGTTAGCTAGCTACTCAGTCCAGCAGCAAACAGGTTTCAATGAGTGTTCAGTGTGTCTAGTTTCTGGCAAAAAACTGAAGCTTTAACTCCTCTCCTGCACCACTCCATTGATTTCTGGTCTACTAAGTGCTTTTATGGCCTACTCTTGCATCCTCCAAAATATTATGCTTAAATAAAACCACTGAAGCTGTTACAAAGCTGTTTCATTTACTCTATTTCTGATTAAAAAAAAAAAAAAAGGAATGATTTCCACATCTGTTGTGGAGTCACAGTTTTCACTCCCTCCCTTCTTGTTGCTAATTGTTATTTTTTTCAAGCAAAGTGCTTTCAGGCTGGAATTTGTCAGGCTTAATAATCGACCCATAGGAGAATTAGCAAGAAATTGGGTAAATTAGATTCTGCAGTTAATTAATTTGTCTGCTACAGCAAACTTTGTCTCATGGGAATGATGAATGGATGTGTCCAACCTCTTTTCCAGAGCTGTTTGGTATGGTGTACATGTCTGTCCACCTTCTGAATGATGAAAGTCCGTTTCAACTTGTGTTCCAATGCCCTTTGGTGCTAGCAGACTCCTTTATCTCCAAGACAGACAATCTTAAGTGTTGTAGCTGTGAACGTATTTCTGATTTTTTTCTTGGAAGCCTTTCATTACAAAAATCTATTCTCCCATCCCCTGTTGCTTTGTGTGTGTGTGTGTTTATGATGTGAAGCCAAGAATGTATTGTTAGCATTTCTGAAATCTCGGGAGTCTAGTAATTATTAGCTCAGCTGTAATTATGGCATAAAAATTAGGAATAATAATACATTTAAATTGTTTCTACCGCTTTTTCTGGTGTCATGCTCACCCTTTCCCTTCACCTATGGGTCCTAAGGTTGGTGATTTCCTTTTGATTGGGTCAGAGGGGGAATTATGATAGCCATAGAATCATGGAACCATTTAGGTTGGAAAAGACCTTTCAGACCATTGTGTCCATCTGTTAATCCAACAATGCCAAGTCCAACATTACACCATGTCCCTCAGTGCCACATCTACATGTCTTTTAAATACCTCCAGGGATGGTGACTCAAACACTTCCCTGGGCAGCCTGTTCCAATGTTCTATCCAGGCATATTCATGTTTTCTTATTTCTCCTCAGTCTACAATATACTTTGGGTCCTTTTGTATGTTTTCAAATAAGCTTTTGCATCTTGCACTTTCTTCACTGGTCTACATCTTTGCATTACACCTGAATTTACTGTACATGGTGGCTTTTACATATATATGCTATATATTATGTCTTCACTCTCTTTATTGCCCCTAAACCCAATTTTGTCCAGGTTCAGGTCTGCACTTTACCTGGCCATTGGTGAGTTCTTTACAGCCTTGAGTCCCCAGTGCCAGACTGTGCCCTTTGCCCTACCACTCCATATCAGCATTCTTCTAGACCATGTCCTGTGTCTTCCCTTCTCAAAGCCCCTGTTTTCATATCAGCCCTACATTGTTTTAAACTACATGTTTGTGTTAGAGTCCTAAATACCTTATTCTACAAAGAACACTGGTATTTTTTATATAAAATTATTGCTGCTACAGCTAAACTTAGTAGAACAAAGCTGCAGGCAGATTGAGAAAGGTTCAGAGAGAGCTAGCCAGATGAGCCTTAACATCTTTGCAAACTCTGCTCAGAACTTATGGCCTTTTGCTAGCAGGGCAAAAGTATTATAGTCCTATAAATATTATAGGACTGCCCTGTTACACAGATTGCCTGCTTCCAAATGACACCACCTGCAAAAATCTGTGGAACTACCTGCTCCCTGCTTAACAGCAATGTCCAAAGCCACTGGGGTTTCAAAAATCATTTGTAGTTTAAGAAAACTGACAAAATGAAACCCACCTTTTTGATGTACCTGAGACTCTTCTGTGTGGTGCACACATCAGAGGGTATATCCAGGAAAAAAGGCTGCCATGGTCCTCTAAGACTGTCATGCAGCTAGCAGTGACAGAAGTAGGATTTATTAACATTGAGCATTTTATAAAATAAATTTTATACCAAGAATTAAAGAGATTTACTCCAAGGATATAAGCATAACAAGACTTATTGGGAGTTATATTTTTTGTTAGACCAAGTAATAGCTAACCTGAGGAAAATATTCTGTGTCTGACAGCTTAATGAGGGGTTTGTTTATTTGTTTTTTCAATTGTACTTTTTTTCTAATAAAGAAGATGCAGTTTCTGCTTGTAAACTTTACCTCAAATAAGAGTAACACATAATTGTACAGGTCTTATAATTGTGGTATCTGTTCATAATTGGTGTTAGCTGTCACATGGTTAAAAGCAATACATTTTCTGGTGAAAAAGGGGCAAAAGAGTCTGTAGATTTCCATGCACATTTGCAGATGTAGTTGAGTCCCAGGAAATCTCAGTTAGCTAATGTGTTTTCAGAACCTATATATTTGTGTTTGTTAAAATTTTACCTCCCACTAGTAGTGATGACTAGTGACAAAAATAGACCTGCATTCTGAAAGAAAATATTCATTCTATTCTTCAGTTATCTCCAGTCAAATACATGTTTTAAACATGTTGTTTGTCTAAGAAGAGGCTATCAATAAATTCACAGAGGCACAAGATCATGAATCTTGCCTTTGGTACAAAGTTTGGTGCAGAACAAAGCATGAACCTTTTAAAGCAGAGCTTGGAAATGTTATCTACAGGAGTGGTATCACCATGTTTCTTGTAAATATTTTTATATTCTGTATATGTACTTAATATTCACTTAGCTTTGCAAACCAAAGTCAGTGTCATCATTATCTGACACTCTATAAATCTGCCTTCAGTTCTAGTATCAGCAAATGTAATTGAATTCAAAGTAAATGTTTGGGAGGAGAAAAAGCAAATGTAAGACTTCAGTTGAAAAAGAAAAAAATGCCTCTAATTTTATATGTGTATATATCTGAGCTTGTTTGACTTTTTCCATTTAAATGCAATTTTCCAGTGTTCTATTTCCATGGAAAAATAAAATTCTGCATTGATGGTAAAAAAAATGTAAACACATTGCTGTTATTGAGATCAGCAGAATTGAATATGGAAAACTGGAGATTTATCAGGAATCCTAATGGGTTTTTTCTTAATTTCTAAACCTTTTAGGATGAGTTTAAATTGCAATTCTAAGCAAGAATATTATCTCTTTCAAATGCAAGTTTGACTCTAGGACTTTCACTTGAAAGGGGCATCTAAGATTCTTTTGAATTGTGTAATAAAAAATTATAAAATAGGAAGGTTCATTAACATCCTGCCATGCTTAGCATTGTAATAATTTCCAAATACAATACTCTGAGTGTATAAATTAAAACAAAATGTTAATAACTGCCAGCCTGGCTCAATAGATGAATAGCTGCTCTCTTTATGCTGCGAGCAGTGAGGATTCTGGAAATATAAAATTTATTTATTATACAGCAAAATAAAGTAGAATACAGCTTTCATTCTTGTAGCAATACTCTGTGGAGATTCCTAATGCAGACAGGTTTTAGATCTTTGATTTTCTTACAAACTAGTGAAATGAACCACAGAAGATTCTGCATGCACTTTTGTAGCCGTGAAATATTTTCTTTTGCATTCTTGATGACAGTTATACTTTATGAGTTAAACTGGGAGATGAACGAGCTTGTATGTAAAGATTAGTGGCATTAGGGAAAAATAGGAGCTTATATAGATGCTTAGAAGAGCTAATAGTCTGCAATAAGGAGATGCTGCTTTGTTCTGTGATTAAAGTTTACTTTTCATCTGGATACTCAGTGCTACTGACTCTGTGTGTAATAGTCTCAGCTAATCAGCTGTGGGAGAGCAGAATTCAGCAATGATTCAGGATGTGCTTTTCTGTGGCAGAAAAGACTGCCACTTGCCAAGGCAGGCAGGCAAAGAAGCCTTTGACATGTGTTCAGAAGTTGAAGAAGGCCAGGGTCAGGCCAAGTATTCCCGTGCCCCGTGTGTGGTTTGTATGCAGTTGACATTTCCACTGGGGCAGGGGAACATGTTGGCCTTTGGTTGCTGGCTCAGCAGCTGCTGAGCAGGATGAGGCTGAGCAGCAATTGCAGCAGTGTCTGCTCTTCATGTCTGACCAGTCACTAAAGGTGCTGCTGCTCCTGATGCAGTGCAAGCAAAGCAAGTTTTGCTTGCCTGAAGGTGAAACCCATAAAGTGCGACCCAAACAAGGACTAAAGCAGAACTGAATACCCAGCACTGGCTTCTGAGAAGTGTGCACCTTCTAGCAGCAGCTTTCTCTTTCAGCCAGGTCAGCCACCATCAGTGTTTGGAGATTCTCAAGAATCTCAATATGGGACTTGCACATCAGATCTCACACTGGGGATCTCCGTTAAATGGAGTCATCTGCACAATACTGAATACAGCAGGAGATTTAGATCTTTTGAGGATTCCCAGCTATAGGGCAGCCCTGGGAGTTTTTATCTTCCTCTTGGTCAATATGGGAAAATTGGGTAGTGGAAGAAGAACAATAGAACTGAAAAACATCTATACCCATCTGAATAACAGAGGGATGGGACTTGGGAACATTTCTTGTTATGAAACAAGCTTGTCTCCTAAACAAGCCTCAGTTGTCTTGCTATAGCAAGTAAAATACCATTGTCTATTATTGCTTGACTGAAATGTTATTTAATTAGTATACAGTGTTAAAACAAAGGTGAGATTTTGCATGGCCTTTAGAAATGCCACTGTTTTAATGTGTTGTTTTTTCAGCTGTTAGAAATCAATACACATGAGCGTTGGCAGTAATAACAGCCTTTTTGAAATGGGTTCACTTTGTCTACCAAGAATATCAGTGAAGTAAAAGCTGTGCTTTCTTTACAAATAATTTTGTCCTTTTGATTATCTCCCCTTTTCATCTTCACAAGTATCCTAGAAAAGACACCTATGGCAATCAAATATTTCATGTTTGGGTTTGGTGCATTGGTTTTATTCCATATACTTGCTGAACTACTGTTTTAATCAAGACTGAATAGATGACTACAGTTCCATAAGTAGCTCCAGCTAGACACTGTCACTTTTCATTTTATGTATTTTCTTTTTCCCTTAGGAGGAGACTGGGGAGAATGAGAAGTCCAAATATATCTTCCCTTAAAAAAAGTAAATGTAGCTTGACAAATAAACATGTAAGAATTATTAGAAATTTGGCAGAGAAAAAAAAATCTCATGACGAGCAGTCCTTTAATAGACAGTTCAAAATCATACCTGGCAGCTATGGAATTTTGGATGCAGAAGGCTGCTAGACCAACTTTGCTTACACATAAATATCTTGCAGTCTCAACAGAGTTCTGCTAAGGTCTGGCTCTTTCCCTCCCCAGTGTTTGCTGAACAGTTTCCTCAGGCAACACAATTGCTTTTGTGACTTGCTCCACTTGCAAAAAGTGTTCCCCAAATCTTTATATTCCCATTTGTCTGTGCTTGCTCGAGGAAAGAGTCTGTAAGATTGTAGTTACCATCAGCCAGTGGCATGCCATGGGGGAGGGCAGAAGGAAGGATAAAGGAGACAGATTTTGAAGCTAAAGGGCTAATCAATGGTAATTTCAGTAGCAAAAAAAATGATTGGTTCTGTCTTGAAATACTTGGCAGATGTGAACCTTGAGGATCACTAGACCTGGTGTACTGATGCATTATACCTGTTGTGGCTGAAATCTGAATGACAGCATTATATATCTGCTCTGTCTGGATGTATACAACCACTCACCCTTCTCAGCCAGGAGAGCAGAAAATGAATGCACAATCTGGGCTGTTACTCATCTCTAATTCAGATGTCACTTCCAGGAAGAATAGGAAAGTTTGCAATGGCTGTTATGCCATTGCCCAATTATTCTCTAAAAATATGTGCCATATTGCAGTTGCATTGTTTGAGTTCATGCTTACAATCCAGGTCTCACCATACTCTCTTTGTTGATACATTATTCTTACATTGTCTTTGTTTTCCTTTTCTGCATGAGAAGTTTATTAATGTGCCATTTCTGCTGGATATAGTTTGTTCAAGGCACAGAACCTTTAGGTCGTGTTTGACCAGGGCACTACACTAGCTATCCTGAGGCCAAAATTTCTGATTCAGATCACTGCGTAGGTAAAGGATTGATATCAGGTGGAAACAGCATGAGCAATGTTTAAAGTTCCTTGATTTTCCTTTTCCTTCTGATGAAGGAGATTTTGTTTGGCTTGCAATTAAGTGGAGATTCCTTCACATTTCTCTGGTTAACCTGGCAAAGCTTTGCATTTTAAGGGTGGTGTAAAAAGCCACTATAATTGTGCTGTTTGCTCTTCTGCCTTCTGTGGGATATTTTGAGACAATGTTTTGTTTCCTCGGTGTGATCACAGGTTTGCACAACCACTCCAGGGCCTGGCTGGGCTTTTTTAATGTATCTTCATTCCACATCATTTTCTTGCTTCTATTACTTAGGCTTCCCTGGGGTTATTCTTGTCTTGAACATAGTATCAAGTCATTAAATATTTCAAAATCTTCTAAGATGTATCTTTCAGAGTATGAATATGGAAGTTTTAGCCAGTGTTGCTGAATCAAGTTATTACAAGTAATTATTAAGTTATTATTAAGTTAAATTATTACATCATAAATTATTAAATTATTATTAAGTAAAAATTTAACCTTTGATAATTTTATGAACTTATCTTTCTAATGTATGTAATTTTTTTTTAATAAATGCAGACTGAAGACAAGAAGGTATCAGAAAAGACTCTTCATGCCCCCGTGTCACCTTCATCTGTACCTGACCATTTGAAGTGCAACATCCTCAAAGCTCAAGTGGAAGCTGCTTTTAGAGTAGGTGCCCAGGTAATCTGAGTTTAATACTCTGCTTTTTTAGCTGTTGCATAGCTTTCACCAGTCTTCCAAAATCCCATCATTCCTCCTGAGGAAGCGTGTAATTTTTAGTCAAGTATGCACATTGACAGAGTGTTCTCCAGCTGTTCTGCAGTTTCTTCAGGTAACTCAAAATGATTGATATGGTGGAAGTAGGAAATTTATCCTTACTGGCATGATTAATACAGCCAGGAGAGGCTGAGAAAATAGGAAAGATGGCCTCAGGAAAACTCTGTTTTGTCACTCTAGCTTTTAGTTACTTTATAGCTTAGAAAGAGTAACCTCTGGAGTTTTCTGAGGCTACCCACTACTCATGGAAACTGGGTTTAAGATTTTTCTAGTGATAATATCTATATATCCAAATTCAACCTTTATTTCAGGGGATGATCTTTAGATACCTGAGTGTGAAATACTAGCTAGTCTCTCACTTTCCTACTTGTTCATGTGCTTTTAACTAAATTTTAAGCGTCTATTTTCACTGCTTGGTTAATGTTTACATTAGATACATCCTGTTTCAAAAATACTCTTTTAATAATGCCATACAACTGAAAACTGATGCTAAATAGCATGACTGTAAAAAGTTATTTTCCCGGTCAGAGTTGAAACCTAAAATATGTGATTCTTCTTAAGTGAAATTTGTGGACAAAAGATAATGCCATCAGTGCCAAAAAATAAAGCCAAATACAAAGTTTTAGGAAGAAAAATAGAGGTAAAAAGATTTTTATAATGTTATCCCAAGTTCCTGTGGTATCATGGAGCACACTATTCTCTTTGAATACAAATTATGTTGGTATTTCCATTGCTTTGTTTCTTTTCACAATAAAGTACCAGGTCAGCTTGCCCTGCAAAGGACTTGGTTAACAATCAGCTTTGTGTATTTGTTGTTCCCTGGCAGATCTTTCATTTGAGAGCTACATTACATCTGGTCTAGCTAGATCTAAGTAAGCATCAAAATCTGGTTATTCTCACTGCCTTAGATTTCAATAGCAGAAACCATAAATCTGGCAGCATAAGGAGGAAGGAGTTGTTTGGGTGATTTTTTTGTCTTTTTGTTTTTGCTTAAAGCAGTTCTCTCACCTCTCTGAACTCTGTGTTGTATCAACTGTTTTTTATGTAGCATATTTCTGCCCTTGGGTTTACCTTCTGTTTTTCCTGTATGTTTTTTTCTACAGGATGTCATGGTATACTTCTCATATTTGTATTTCCTTCTGAATATGCTTAATGGTCATGTTTGACTGGCTAGTTAAAGGCTGAAAGCAGTGTGTGCTGCTGCATTCAGAATACATTATTAGGGCAAGATAGGAAATGTGCTTAACGTATGCATCTCTCAGTTGACCTGCTCTGTCTTAATTTTTCAGTCTGAGGCTTTCCAAGAGAAAGCATCCTGGGTTGCTTTTTCTGCCATAACCATATTCTTTAGCTGTTGTTGTGTTGTAAATAATTTTCCAGCAAATTGAGCATTCCTCTTTTCCTTCTTGCCTGTGTTGTTTTTCACAAGGCTTTAAAAATCAAATTGGATTAAGTAGATATCTGTGGACTTGGCCTCAATGAGAAAAATCTTATTTCAGAGGAAGGAGGGTAAAGAAGACTGTTGCACCATAGCATATATTGTGGGAAAATAATGGCATAGGGTTCAGTTTGAAATCCCTGAAAATTTCATTGCTAACAAAGTGTGGCTTAAGATTTATAGCCAGTAAAATAGGAAGTCACCTTAATCTTAGAAATCCTCATTCAACTACCTGCTTAGCCACAAAATTGCCTGTGTGACTAGAGATGAGTTCTTTTGCACTTGAGCTCCCCTCCTTCAATTATAAAATATCAGATACATTGCAAAAAAAGCAGGCAGAGACCAGGCAGTGATCAGCTGTTACAGTAAGAAGCTGTGGCTACACAAGCACTGAAAAAGGTAGGAAAAATGGTCATGGTGAAGGGGCCAGTGGAAACACAATATTTATCCTCTAGAAGGTGGGAGAAGGGAAAGCTGCTAGAGGAGGACCTGACAAACCCCTTTATGGTATTAGATACCATAAATCCACCCAGTTATCTTCTCTACCTGCCCCCAGCCCCCCAGACAACTAGCTGAATACCAATAGCTAAGCCATTTCCCAGTGGCAGTTCAGTCATCTTCTGGGAAAAGTGACCTGGGATGGAATTGCAGTGCTGAGAGACACAGCATCCTTTCAAGGGAGCAGATAAGGAATAATTTTCTTCATGGAAGACAACTACTTTACTCCATATATTCCCCCAGGGCTGTGATCCTGCCCCTCTTTGACCCCATATATTGCTCCCCAGTATATCTGGAGGACTAATGATGTTGTCCTCTGCCCAATTCTATCTTTTGATGCCAGTTCCATATTATATCTCCTAGAAGTCTTGCCTTCTGCCCTTATTCTTAACACTCCAATTTCTCATCTCTTCTTTTTTGTACTGTCATATTTCAATTTACTAGGCAGCCAGAGCAAGAGGTATATCTAGGGTCCCTAAGGCACAGCCTATATTCCTCAAGTTGTAAAGCAAAGCAGTCTAGCTTTTCCTCATGTAGAGCACAGTTATTTCCATATTTAATGATAGCACAAAAAATAAAAAAATAAAAGAAGGGGGAAAAAACGAGAACTTGCTTCTCTAGTTTGTAAAAAGAAGAAGAAAGAAACACTCTGTCTTATGCACATTGGTGTTTGAAAGGAAATGTTCTAAGGGCCCCAAAAAATCTATGGTCTAACTCATTCTTTTTGAAACTTCATGGGGCATTTTCATTATATGGTTGGGTTTAAAAGCATGAGAAAAATATTGGTGCACTGTAGGATCACATCCAAAATTAACAAACTGTTGCTTGAAGTATTTGTAACAGCTCTCCCTTCAAGCAGTAGGAATATTTTCAATACCATATGCTACTAACATCAGGATGTGACAAGTTTATGAAAGCACCTCCTGCATGTAGTAGAAGAAGAAGCTGTTCCTTGTTAATTCAGAGAACTGAGTAAATGTTTTCAAATGTATAATATAAGTTGGGACAGAAATTTTTTGTAGTTTGCTTTTTTTTTTATGGCAGCTAGGCACCAACACAAGAGAGAGCCTTAGAAATGAATGATTCCAGTGCTTATGATTTAAAAAATGAAACCAGGGAAAATGTGGCTAGACATTTGAAAATATATCCTGAAATATGATCTCTGTGCTTTTTCATTTCAGAATTGTGCCAAAGAGCTTATCACATTCCTAGGGGACAATACATCTCCCATAGTTATAGCCCTGAGTTACAGACAGAAAATTTGTAAGGTTATGGTGCTGATCACTTAGCTCTGCTTTTGGTTTAGAGTTATAGAGCAGCAGAAACATGAGTGAGGGTTGTTGTTTTTCTTTATTTGGTGAAGATGGGAATGTTTATGTGCTACTCATCTAAATGTAGAATCAAACTGCAGCGTGCACAGGGATGCTGGAAGCTGGATCTAGGAGCTCACTGCCATGGGCACCACAGATGAGAAACGTGAGGAGCCCACATGCAGCTGTGGGAACCTGTGGCTTGCACAGAGCATGCCATACTTACCTGTAGCATGAGAGCAAATGAGTAATGTTTCACAACACACCTCTCAAACTGTGCCACAGGGATCTGCCACCTTTTAGCTGACAGACTACATGTCACAGTTCCCACATAATTAAGCTCCAGGGGAGCCCTAAACACTGTGAAGCAACTGACATGTCTTTTATTTTTTTTTTTTTTTGCATATATTCCAGGCTCTTCATTTGAGAGGTACTCCTATAAAGCTGCAGTAAGGAGCTGTCAGAATACAAAAGACCAGCTCTCCCTAGCATTTAAAACCCCTTTGCAGCTTGCATGAGTCAGTGCTGAAATGCTGTGATTGAGCAGAGATAACTTGTTGGTATCAAAGAGTCCCTTTTGCCAAAAAGTTCATGGCCCAAGTGATGAAGGAAAGATACTTGAAGGTTTCAGTTGTTATTTTTATCCATTTTGGCTTTGGACAAATCCTAATTATCCTTAAAATTAAGCACAGGATCCTGAGCAAATGTACAGCTATCTCAGCAGGGCTTTTTATTTTGGCAGGCAGTGTTCTAGCAGTTTGTCATCCACAAGTGGTGTCTGTATTCTGTACCTGTTACCCAGGTTTTCCTAAATCCTTGGGTTGATGTGTGTCCAGCAGGTTAGCACAGGGAAGGATCCCTTTTCTCACAGATTTCTTCTGCAGCTGATTTTTGCATCACTCACATCTTCCTCTTGTCTGCAGACACGGGAAGGCCAAGCTCATTTTGCAGGTACATTTTTGCAGTGCAGTTTAGAGAAGACAAATAAACGTGACATTACTGTGAGCTACATTATGGGTTGTTCGCTGAGAAAAAAAAAAAAAAAAGTGGTGAGAAAAGGTGGTTTGGAGCTGCAGGGTCCTTACAAAAGAGCATACAAAATCTCATTTATTTCTCCCTTTTCAACCCCGATGGAAACTCTTGGCCAGGGAGAAGTATCTTCAATCAGCCAGGTTTGGGTTCTCAAGCCATTGATTCCCCTGTCTTGGTTCTCAGTAAACAAAGGGACATTTAGGCTGAACAAAGGGACGTTCAGTCCTCTAACTCCTTTCACACTCTAACTTTCTTGACAAGCCTATACACATGCAAATTTTTAGGCCAGGTCGATAGCAATCTCTCTTTTTTCTCCCTTTCCTAGAAACAAGTACAGGCCGAATATCATGTAGTTTTGCCTTAAGTTCTGCAAATATGTGAGTAAGTGCAGGTTGTCTGTGCTGTTTAGAGTTGTCTTGAGGAAAGGACAGGTCCATGGTACAGAAAATACCTCAGGTCATGCAGGATACCGGTGTCATCCTGTGCTCTCTACATAGATACAAGCCATGGCTGCGATGTAAATGAGACTGGCATCTATGCATTATTTATGGTAGAAAAGGTGCAGAAGTGAGTTGATCCACAGTGCCAGTCTATCATGAATACATTTTTGACAATTCTTTGTCTCT